TGGCGGTCTGCATGTATGGCAGTGTGAGGGGGGTGTGAGTATATGTGTATGGTGGGGTGTGCGTGTGGGACTTGCCCCATGAACATACACACACACAGGTACCAGCACAGCCCCGTGCTCCCAGTCTGGCAGCTGGGAGCCACATGGTGCTGTAGCAATGCAGAGGCAGGAAGGCAAGGAAATGGTTGGGGATGGGATGGGGCTGGGCTCCTCCCTCCTGCTGCTAGCTCCCCCTGGGCCCTACTGCCCCTGGCTCCTGTCATCTTTGACAGGCAGACAGGAGCTGATAAATATTTTCTAAATTTTTTAGGGGTCCCGAGGCCGGATAGAATGGCCTAGCAGGCTGGATCCAGCCCCCGGGCCGTATTTTGCCCACCCCGATCTAAGGGCTGTGTTTAGATTACCTCGATGCTCCAGAGACCACAAAACTGTACTGCCTCATGCTGGACAATATTGCCCGACTCCTCCAAAGATCAATGAGGGACAGAACAAAGGTGTTGCAAGGACCAGCTTTCCCTGGTAAGGGAAGGGAAAGAACATTGGAAGGACTTAGCCTTTCTTTGCTAATCTATACAGTCCTCCTCTTGTCAGTGCCTGAACTGGGAACATAAGACTGGAAGGGGTCTCCTGGGCCATTAAGTCCAGCCCCTGCTGTGACAGGTAACAGTATCCTGAAATCCCATTCATAAATGTATCAAATTCCATCTCATTCCCACTACTGGATTTACTGCCCCTGTCAGAGCTCCTTTCCATTCTCCCCATGGCTGAAACTGCTCTTCAGATTGCCAGCCTAACCTTATTCATGACCAGTTCATATCCATTACTTTTTGTGCCAACGCAGCCCTTTAAAGGGCTCCTCTCCTTCCCAGGTGTTTACCTCTCAGATGGATTTGTAGGGATGTCTCCAAATTCCCTAAGTTCAAGTATTAAAGAAATAAGGCTTATGAATTGCCACTGCAATGCTTTTCTGCGGTGACTGTCAACAACAGAGCTCCAAGCACTCTGCAGACCTCTGCACAACCATGAGGCACATACTATCCTGGTTTTACAAGCAGGAAAACTGAAATGCTAAATGGTCTGCCAGGGCTACAAGAGGAGAACTCAGGTGCCCCCACTGCTACATGATCATTATTGTTAAGGGGGGAGAAAAACCTACAGAGCCTGCATCCAGGTGCAAACCTGCTAAAATGACCGGGCTCATGGAGGTCCTCAGATTCTCAACCCCTCTCCATAGGTCACACTGGATTCCCAGAGTCTCTGCACCTCAGCTTGTCAATGAGGATCACTGCGAGCCTCGGGAGCTCTCCACCGAGGGCCTGAATTGAGGGTTAATCATTTGTTTGTAGCACCGGAGAGCGAGAGGAAAAAAAAAAAAAAAAAAAAAAATGAGGCTGCTTTATGGCACCTTGTGAAAAACAACACTAACCCTCTTCCAGCGGCTTTTCACGTGCTCAGCAAATAGCAGCATCCAATGCCCTTGTCCTACCACTCAGAAAATTTAGCTTGATAAAAAAAAAAAAAAAAAAAAAAATCGCATAGCCCCTCAGTGGAAAAAACCTCAACCCTTGCAGGCAAACAAATCCAGTCAACTGGAAGTGAACAAAAATGCAGCTTGGTTTATCAGACACCACAGGCTAACCTAAGCAGCGCTGCTGAAACGCGACTTCTGCTGGTCATTGCTCTGGAAGATGTTCGCAAAACGGGGCCCCGACTTTCCCTTTCCTTACTGTGGTGCAAATTCAGAGTGGTTTCACTAAAATCAGTGAAGTTACACTAACGTATGTGACAAGGAAGGCAGTCGTAACCCTTAAAAGCTTTTCTTGATTAAAAAGAAGTGGGGGCTGTATTTTTCCCTCCGCAAAGTGCAGCTCAAATCCCAGCCTCTGAAAGAATAAACAGACGTCAGATCTGCCGGCCCACATACAGCTGTTAAACAGAGACAGCGCTGGGGCTTTGCAGGGAAGTGCTAAAAGTCTGCAGATCTCAGGGGCTCTCTCTGCAGACTGGAAACAGACTCCAGAAAATGCATTAGAAATTCTAGGCGTGATTCTTCATGTGCACCGCAAAATATGTAAGAGTATGAAGTGACCTACTTACATGAAGCAGTGGAAAGATTCGTTTTAAAAGGCATTTGCCTTGTGTGTCCCTCCCCCAGTATCTGCAAGTTGCCAAGATCCTGGGTTTGCCGGATAATTTTCTCCCTACCCATCATTTTGTAAACAAAAGGAATCTGTACTCAAGGTTAACTCTCCCGGACAGCTTGCCCTCCTGGGCACCTTGGGTCTCAAGCCAAGAACCTGCTGACTCCCCAGGGATTTGCATATCGTGTTACTCTTTGGAAGGAGGCAGGGAGAATGGGGCAGTGTGGTTAGGCCACCAGCCTGGCAAGCATGAGACAAGGGCTCTAATCCTGGCTATGAGCACGGGCCATGGCCTTTAAATCACACTGTACCCTTCTGAAATGGTGCTAGGAGCACTTCTCTGCCTCACAGGGGCAGGGAGGATCCATTTTATTATAATCACTCTGAGACGCCAGCTGCTGCTCTGATGGGGGTGAGAGACAGGAAACACATTAAAGGAATAAAAAGCTAGCTGGCTAACAAAGCGAGATCTTGTGGTTATTACTAGATGCAAGCCAGTGGCCAGCCTGAGCACTTGTTTTATTCAAGCCCATTAAAACACCTGAATTATTTAAAAATGAAGGGAATTGATAGCAGCCTGGAGGTCTAGGGCAATATTTAGGCAAGAACAAGGGCTTCAAGATAAGGCCCACAACATCACCTGCCTCCCCACCTAGCACCAAATAAGGGGATCACTTACATTGAAATGCTACCACCTCAGTAATGTTGCACAGAAACTCCTTAATAGCTCCCAGTAACACAGTTCAGGACACAAATTGAAGAGCCTAGAAGTTATTTCAATACTGCTGAAGGAACTCAAAAGGGCAGAATGGGATTATCCCTCTTTTCCTTTTTTCCCATTTTACCAAGGGAGGAGGGAGAACCAAAACAAAAATCTGGACTTTGAAATCTTTCAGATTGCACAAATTGAAAACCTGTCTGGGTTCTGGCTTGAATTTGGCTTTCGTCTTGAAAAACAAAACACACACAAAAAGTTTCAGAACAAGTTTGCCAAAAAATGTAAAAGCAAGCAAAAAATGAATCTGTTCATAAAACACACTTACGTTGCAGCCAGCTCTGCAGGGAAAGTATAAATCATTGGAAACACACAGAAAAACCAGACAGACTGAATGCTTGTGTGGGTGATCAGAACATTGTTGGGAGCAAAACCCAACCAACCCTGGGATGGGAAATACAGAGACGAGAGGCGGACACCTCAGTCATTCTAATCAGTCTCTAGGGCTGGGATTTTCAAGGGAGCCAAAGGGATTTAGGGCTGAAAATCCCAGCCCAAGTATTCTGTTAATGTTTGCCTGAGGCTCTTGCAGGCAGCAAGGAAAAGAATTTAGGAATAATATTTTCATAGCTTGGACAAGGCTTGAGCTTTGATCCACTGCTGTAATGCTGGCCAGGCACAGAGAAATGCCGGCAAAAAGAGCCGTGCCGCTGTGTCGTCCCCCCCACCCCACCC